ATTATCCGATCTTTATGAAACTTGGTTTTTGGTGCCTAGGAATGTTACCTTAAATTATAAAATTAATTTCACTATCCTAGATACAATAGAAATATCCAAAGGCAAACATATATCAGTTATACCAATATATGATTGTAATAGATGAATTCTGGCTCAAATTCTGTAGATATTAATACATTAATAATTTCTATGCAAATTTGTATCAAATGGAACTTTCTGGTGGAAATTTCTTTTCTTTGCGCAAAACAGCATTAAAGTCAATGCAATTAAGATTAATTGGATTAACGCTGCGATTGAACACAACAAACCAATTATACCACTTCTCAACTCGAGAAACTCGCGTAACGCCAGCGCACAACCCTTTGGACACAAATTATGAGTGTTTTGTGTTTTATATTATTGATTATATAATAAAATAAATATTACCTTTTGATTAAGAAATTGAGTGCCCGTCAGATAACAGGAGCTGGGAATCGACATTCCGTACCTCTGATAGTCGTTGAGAGAGACGACACCACAACAGCTCAACTGCAAGAGAAAGGGATTGCATTTCAGCCAATATCGAGTGATTTGCACACCTTTTGAGTATTGTTTTACTCGTAATGACAATCAAAGGTTTCGAAATTAATAAAATTCTGTTTATGTAATGTTTGAGGAAATCACATGTAATTATGCATTTGTGCCAAAACTGAATTCATTTTGGATAATGTTCGACAACAATGAGAATGTTATTTATAAAAATATTTTTTGATCAGAAATTCATTTCAAATCTATTGTGAAAATGTTTTTTAGTATAAAAATATTGAATGAAAGAGAAAAAAATTGGTTTTCATCTGAATGGAGAGGACTTTATTAAAAAAGGGATGGAATTTGTGAAAGCAATGAATGAATGGCTTTCTCTATAATACCTTCACTTGAAAGGAGTCGATGAAACCGCGGGCTCTGTCGTCGTACGGGTATTGTTGTAGTTCTGCGATGAGTTGTCTGAACGCGAAATCGTAGAGCTTTTAGAGAGAGAAATGCATTAAAAAGAGGGAAAGGGATGAATGCGCGGCGAACTTGTTGTCCGAATCCGTGGAATATTCCCAAAGTTATTGTCGCCATTTGAAGACCAAAGAGGAGCACATGTATTGATCCGTACTGTCGATGCAGAGTGAGTGAGTGAGTGAGAGAGTGAGTGAGAGAGAGAGAGCACAGCAAATGCATAATACATACGAGAGTATGATGTAGGCTGCGGTGACAATGTTGTGGGTGTCGATGTAGCGGCTGGGCTCGTACAACTTGGGGTCCACAATGAGCCATATGCCGATGCCTGTGATGACCCAAGCGCACAGCTATCGATCGCCAGCAAGTGATTCATTGAATAAAGCATTAATCAAATTACCGACAATAAGTCAGTGGATATTGTTGTGAATAAATAACCACTTCTTGAATAATTAATGAGAAACGCACCCACAGAACGAGGTTGAAGAAGAAGTGCAGGATTTTGGTGATTTTGGCCATTTTTAATCCAGTATATTAAAAAGTTTTAACTTTACAGTATAAAGTTGCTTTTTATTTTTATTTGTTTTTATGTAATTATCAAAATTATAATTTTATATTTCAAAAATGAAAGTTATTTTAGCATAGTATAATTTTATTTTTAACTAATTATTGTAATTATCTTGTTATTAATAAAATAGTAATATTGGTAAATACTGTGAACTAATAATTGCTTGATCTAGTGCAAATAAGTTAACAAACTTTTTGATTTACTCAGCAAAACGTGTTTAAATGATAAATTAAAATATTTCTTGCGATAATTACATACATGTATTTAATTGACTTCAATATATAAAATAATTATTTTAATTACTGTCACAACAAATGATATATTTTGTAATATGAGAAAAGCTAAATAAACATAGTCAATTAATTAATAATAAAGTTTAAAACAAGTATTTAGGTAAAATACTTTAGTTAATAATCATTGACTTATTTACAGCATAGCAACAAGTTAAAAATGTCGTTTAATAAAGCAGTAATATTTGTCTTGGTTATTATTTCTATTGTAACTTTTGGTAACTAAATTGGATATAAAAATTTGTCTAATTAAATTGTAATTTTAATATAACCATGATCAATTTACAGAATTAAATAAAACCGAGGCTATGACAGAGACACCAACTACTGAGACAACTACTGTCTGTTATACTAATACAGGTAAATCAATGGCGAGCAAAAAGCCCCAGGACCATTTGCAAGAACGCCATGGACAGGCTCGTCATCATAAAAATTCTACAACAAGCAATCACAAATAAATGATCTTGTTAATTAACAATTTTGTTCATTTAAAAATTCAATTAGAACCATCTGGTTGCAATTATTGTGCTAGATTTTTAAAATATATACTAATTTAATATACTATATTTTAATAATTTTTGAAGTTTAAGATTCTATGATTTATAGAACAAATCATGCATTTTTAAAATAAAATGTTTTAAATGTAATTTGTTTAAATAAAATTTACTTTTAATAAAATAGATATTTTTATAAAGGTATTTTTTAAAAATATTAAACTAATATGTAATGGTAGTTAAAACTTAATTATTTTTGTTATAATATAAAATGAAATAATTTTTAGCATTTGTGATCAACATGATCTGTATTTGTATTTGTTAAAAACAAATATAAAAATTAATTGACAATAAACTAATTGTAATAGATTTTGCGAACATTTACAAATCAACTGGTTAAACAATAATTAATTGTTGTTGTTATGAATATCTTTGTTTTAATAACAATATGGAAATTTTTTATTAAAAAACAAATTTATAAATATTCATTATAAGATTAAAAAATTGAAAATTAAAAACAAAATTAAAAAATTAATGTATTAAATAAAACCATCATGAATTAAAATAAAATACATAAATGTGCGTGGCAAATTTATATTTGTTATCATTATGTTATTGTTGGTCATAATTATCAATATTATGCTAAACATGATCAACATTGTAATAAAAACAAGGACAATAAATATGTATTACAAAATTCACCTGTTAATAGTAAAAAGCCTACGATTGTTCATAGAGTTAACGCGCTTATCAACTCTAATAGCTTAAAAAGTAAATGCATATAATTATAATAAACATGTTTAATTTAATTTGGTATGTTTAATAAAATTTTATATAAATTAGCTTATTGTTATATGAATTAATAAATTGTCTTTTACTATAAAATAGTAATTTTAATACTTTTAATACTATGCAATTATTCCATAGTAACAGGCATTAATATTTGCACATGGTAAGTAATAAATTAATTAAATTACAATATATCACGGAAGTGTAACTGGTAAATATTTAAGCAATTATGCTCGATTATATAATAAGCAACATGCAATTTTATATCATTAAAACTATAAAACGCAAAACATTATATTCACTTGCATTTATAAGATAAGTTACAAATTACCAATTTTAATTATCAATATGAAATTAATTATAATTATCACTGTATTAATGTTATACAGTATTTTTCTAATAAATGTTGAATGTAAGTGCTTACTAATATTACTTATTTAAAATAATATACATAAAATTAATTGATCAGGCTGCCATGGTGGACACGGTGGTGGTGGCCATGGCGGGGGTGGCCATGGCGGGGGTGGCCATGGGGGTGGTGGACACGGTAGACATGACAGCTCTAGTTCCAGGTCAAGCTCTAGTTCACGTACCATGTCTCAAAATTCACCTGTAAATAAAAGTCCCACAATCATTGACCGGGCTAAAAGTGCAGTGGCTGGTTTTGTAAAGCCTGCGTCCAATTCAAAACGAGGTTAAAAATAATTAATATATTTATATTGCTAATTGTTAAATTGAAAACTATACAACTTGAAAATTGTAATAAGTAGAAAATATAATTAATATATTTTAAAGGCATTAATTTTTGCGTTCAATTTTGTTATTAATAATTATTAACATAAATAGATTCATATTAATTAGTAGAATATGACAATTTAGTTAGATTTCGTTTAAAGTTTGATTATTAAATTAAAAAGCTCATACAATTTAATCATTAACAAAAAAATATTGATACAAAAAATTACACTCTAATTTAATTATATTTGAGTGAAATAAAATAATTAACAATTGTTAACCTAAATGCTTAAATAGTTTGCGAAATATGCCTAACGGCAATTAAATTGTCGACAATTATTCGTCCTACGTAAATAATCACATTCAAAATATAATTGTTTTTGAACACGTGGATAATCTAAAATCCAATGGTTATCGCACGTAACCGTACCATCATATATAAATAACCTATTGTTATGATTCTGTTGGAGAAACTGACCAAGACCATTATATGTCAAATATGTTCAGCTAATACACTTGCTACAAAATACGTCGATCGTTACGTTATAATTACTTGTAATCAACGAATTGGCCTAGAAACTATCCGGACAAAGTAGCATGTTTCCCATAAAATTAATATTTAACTTGTTGATTGCTGTCCCAAATAACATGATGGTCTCGGCCGGTACGATAGCGATGCGCGTGTCTAATATTTCTATGGCGTAGAGTTTTGGCAACGAATAAAATGCCCTACTGCCAACTGTTTCTATTGAGTTGCCAACTAGTCTAATGTACCTTAGGTTGTTTAATTGAGAAAACGCCCTTGATGGTATTGCGCGCAAGTTGCAATTTACCAGTCCTACATATTTTATAGATGAAAATTCGGCGATTATGTCGAATATCAATCTCCCGTCATGATCATGGTCCAATTTTGGTGCGGTAAATATATAAAAGCTTTCTAAATCCAAACCAGCGAACGCGTGTCTATCGATGTAAGTTAACACCGGGAGCGAACGAATTATAAAATGTTTGAAACTTACACCAGTAAATGTGTCCCTGGTTATTTCAGTTATATTATGAAAACATGATATGTCGAGTTTATCCGGTGTTCTTTGGTCCATGGGTAATTTTTGTATTTTTTCCATCGACGGCATTAGCGTAGTATTTGACATTGGCCGGGGAATTGATCTAGGACATGACAATAAGCCTTTACAATACCAAACAATGTTATCATAATCGTCTTCCATACACGAACACGGTTTCATTATCTCTTCATCCGGGCATTTATTATTCAGACACAACACTATATTAATTAGTAGTATGAATAATATAATGGTTGAATATTTAGACATTGTTGTGTAAAACTAATTGTTAATACTAATTGAAGTTTAATTTATAAACCAATAAAGTATTGTATACAATATAATAATCTTAAAATAATTTGCAAAGTGTTTTATAAAAAATTAACTTCACAGACTTATCAATAGTAATTAATTAAATATAAGAAAAACATTGTTTACATTTCGTATATTTTATTGTGTAACATAAAACATTTAAAAAAATAAAGTGAATAATTATTTTAAATAAATTAATTCCATGCATTTCAAAAATATTTAATTAATCATTTCTAGTAACTACATTAATGCATGGTAACAAGTAAACTGAAAAATGTCAAATATTTTAAAAGTAAATAAATTCGCAAGATTGCGGTTCAATATAATTAAATTAGCTTATCAAAAAATGTTTCTTGTATAAATATTTTCAAAAATTAAATTAATATAAAACATTTATAATAATGAAATAATAAATTTTTGTAATGTTTATAAAAAAAAGTCGCTAAACTTTACCCAGCACGAATACGTTTAGACTCAACAATAGCATCAGGCACTTTTTGGAACAATATGATGACCAATGCATCCATTTTCACAATCAAATAGTGTTTATCATAACGATTGTCGGCGACAGCCCTGGAGAACGTGTGCTGAGCGCCGGCCACACACTCGGCCCACCATAACTGGCCCGGAATATCGCCCCCGTGTGTCAACCGCTGACATATAGACCAGTACTTTGTTTGGATCATAACAGCACGACGTATATTTTTCATAGCCATAGCTGTCAGGCTTTGTGGCTGTTTAAAGGCCGGAAAGGGTAGGGATCGACTGTTTAGCCGCCCGTGACTTACGGGTGCTATGAGGTTTTGGTCCATAATTATTGTTTTATTCAACTGGATACTCTTATGGGCACTTTTTATTACATCCCATTTAGTCATTTCTGATTTCTATTAGTTATGAATGAAAATTAGTTTATTAATTAACTAATATAAATTAACCAACATTGTTTACCTGTACTCTGTGAACATGTTCAACTTTAAATACAACGACACGATGTCTATTGCCGTAAATAACATCCAGTAATGAACCGGACATATAGTCGACGCCTACCACTAGTTGATCGGTAGCCGTATTACTGGTGACAATGCACTGCCACTGACTGTCAGTCCCGGCGTCGGTGCCCGACATACTGTCGGCCCGATTGTGGGCCACGTATTGCTGATTGAGTGCACCGACTGTTTTGTACGTAACGCACGTATAGCTGTTGGCGCACACGTTGAACGCAAAGTCTATGGTCCGTACCGTAAATTCTCGTTGAGTGTCATTCAGGTCGGTGCGTATGATTGCAATTTAATATCAAGTAACTTTGTTTGTATGGAGAGGTTGGTTACCGCTGGGCGCCGTTGAATAGCACTGTTAGGCATACAGGTGTCGATTGCGGTAAGTTTGCTGTTAATGATGGCCACCACGGGGTGACTGTCCCCCAGTGGGGGTAGTTTTTGGTCAACATTTCCGATGATATTTTTAATAGCATTCTAGTAAAGCGTTTTTTATAAATGAAATAAATGTTAGACTTATGTAAAGTTATGCATATAAAAAAAGTTTATGTATTGTAATGTTTATTTTAATGTGACATAAATATTTTGTTTGGATATATTTTATTTGAATTGTTTAAACAGTTGTTTTTTATTGAGTAACAAAATATAGATAACATAGAAATTATATAATGTATATATTTTTTAAATTAACAATTTTAATATTTCGAGAATAAAATGATGTATTTATACTAGTGTAAAATAATTATATTTCATTGTTTAAAAGTATTGTGTTAATTAGTAATATATGACAATTAAATTACATTTAGTTTTACTATTAAAATTTGATTATTAATATAATAGATTAATACAGTTGTAATAAAATTGATAAATAAAAGTCACTCCAATTTGATTATATTCAAAAATAAATAAAACAATTACCAATTTGCTAATAATTTTAAGGCCTTAAATAGTTTGCGCAAACTATACCATGGGGAATTTTGGCACTTAAATTGTTGACAACCTTCCTCATAATGAAAAGCATGACAATCATAATACAATTGTTTTTGGATTCGTGGATACTCTAGAATCCAATGGTCATCGCACGTAACACTACCACCATATATAAATAACCTATTATTATGATTCTGTTGAAGAAACTGGCCAAGACCATTATATGTCAAATAAGTCCATCTAGTAAACTTGCCACAATATACGTCGATCAATACGTTATAATTACTTGTAATTAATGAATTGGTTTGGAAACTATCCGGACGAAGCAGCTCGTTTCCATCAAAATAAATTATTAACCATAATTCATTATGGTTCGCTGTACCGAATAACATGATGGTCTCCGCGGGCAAGATAGTGATGCGTGTGTTTAAGATTTGTAACTTGTTAAGTTTTGGCAGCAAATAAAATGCCTTACTACTAACTGTTTCTATTGATTTGCCAACTAATGTAATGTACTCTAGGTGGTTTAATTGAGAAAAGGCATTTGATGGTATTGTGCGCAAATTGAAATTTTCCAGTATTACATATTTGATAGATACGAATTCGGCGATTATGTCAAATATCAATCGCCCATCGTGACCATGGTCCAATTTGGGAGCGCTTTTTATATAGAAGCTTTCCATATCCATACCAACGAACGCATGCCTATCGATGTAAGTTAATGCCGGGACCAAACTGATGGAAAATGTTTTGAAACTTATACCAATAAATGTGTCCCTGGTTATCTCAGTTATATTCAAATCTGATATGTAGAATATTAACGATGTCCTTTGGTCCATGGGTAATTTTTGTATTATTTCCATCACCGGCATTAGCGATGTAATTGACAAATCATTGCCTTTACAATGCCAAACAGGACCAAGATAATAATATTTACAGGAACATGATTTCATTATTTCTTCAGCCGGGCATGTATGATTCTGACAAAACACTATATTAATCAATAGTATGAATAATATGATGGTTGTATATATGAACATTATTGTATAAAACTAGTTGTTAATACTAATTGAAGTTTAATTTATGAATCAATAAACTATAATAAACTTTAAATAATTTGCAATGGTTTTATATAAAATTTATTTTACTGACTAATTTACTGTACATACATGTGTATTAATGATTGAAAATTTTAAATTATTAGAAATACATTATTCCCATTTAGTATAATAAAATTTTGTAACATAAAACATTTAAATGGAATAAAAATGAATAATAATTATAACTAAATTCTATTCATTCAATTAAAAAATATTTAATTAATTATTCTCAGTAATTAATAGTTACTAACTATATTAATGCATGGTAACAATCAGAATGTAAAATATTTTAAATATTTAAAATGTAAATAAAAAGTGCAATATTGTGTTTCAACATAATTAAAAAAGTTGTCAAAAACCTTGTCAAAAAAAAGTTGCTTATATAAATTTTTCCAAAAATTAAATTATATAAAACATTTAAAATAACGAATAAATCGTGAAATGTTTATTAAAAAATTCACCAAAACTTCAGCCAGCACGAATATGTTTTGCATCAACAAAAGCATCCGGCAACTTCTGATAGAATATAATTATTAAAGCATCTATTTTCACAATCAAATAGTGTTTATCATAACGATTGTCGGCGACAGCCCTGGAGAACGTGTGCTGAGCGCCGGCCACACACTCGGCCCACCATAACTGGCCCGGAATATCGTCCCCGTGTGTCAATCGCTGACATATAGACCAGTACTTTGTTTGGGTCATAACAGCCCGACGTATATCTTTCACAGCCATAGCTGTCAAGCTTTGTGACTGTTTAAAGGCCGGAAAGGGTAGGGACCGACTGTTTAGCCGCCCGGGATTTGCGGGTGCCATAAGGTTTTGGTCCATAATTATGGTTTTATTGAGCTGGATACATTTACGGGCACCTTTTATTTCATCCCATTCAGTCACTTCTGATTTCTATTAGTTATTAATAAAAATTAATTTATTAGGTAATTATTAAAAATAGTTGTTTACCAACATTGTTTACCTGTACTCTGTGAACATGATCAACTTTGAATACAATCACACGATGTCTATTGCCGTAAATAACATTCAGTAATGAACCGGACATATAGTCCACGCCTACCACTAGTTGATCGATAACCGTATTACTGGTGACAATGCACTGCCACTGGCTGTCAGGCCCGACGTCCGTACCGTGAATTCCCGTTGAGTGTCGTTCAGGTCGTTGCGAATTATTTGTTTGTATTAAGGGGTTATTGGCCGCGGGGTAGCGTTGATTAGCACCACCGGTGGGTGCGTTAGGCATATGGGTGTCGATTGCGGTGAGTTTACTGTCAATGATGACCACCACGGGGTGACTGTCCCCCAGTGGGGATAGTTTTTGGTCAACTTTTTCCGATGTAAATTTAAATAGCATTTTAGTAAAGCGTTTTTGTTGTAAATGAAATAAATGTTAGTCTAATGTAAAGTTATTCATAGCAAAAAGTTAATGTATTGTAATGTTTATTTTAATGTGACATAAATATTTTATTAAATGTATTTTATTTGAATTGTTTAAACAGTTGTTTTATGTATTGAGTGAAATTATTGTGTGAATTATAATATTTTGTTAAATATCTTATGTATTAATAATTTCTATCATGTTTTTATGATATCTTGTCTCTGAAATTAATATAATTAAAGTTAACATTTGATAAAATGTTTTTAATAACTTGTTTTTGTATGTAATAATATTTGAGAAATATAAACACTGTTAAACATTCATATTTAATTTTTTGAAAAACATTTTATGTTACGTAGAAAATAATGTACGCTAAAGTTAATAATGTCTTGTAAAATAAAATTATTGAAAGAAATATAATGAATATTAATTATAAATAATCTCCATGCACATATCGGGGTTTCGTTTATATTTCCATAGTATTTAATAACCTTATGTTTAGATGCTTGCCAAATTTTTGTGGTTACTAACAACAAACCCTTGTAAATATTATTTAATACATCTATTATTTAGCTTTAATTCTGTATTTAAAAATTATTAAATTTATTTTATAAACTATTGATTTAACGCGAAATAAACTATAGCGAGAAATTCGAAAATTTGGTCTATTTTAGCTTTTATTCAAGGGAACTATACAAGAGACCTAAACAAATAATATATTGGTCTTAGACGATGTATTATCTACCAACCAATGACATGAATTGAATAAAAGGGTAAAATTCGGTAATCATGACTCCAATAACCATTCTTGAACCCGCCGACCCCGTGAAGTGGAAAATGCTGTGGCAAAAGACCGGGGTAAATCATAGTAAAGATTTTTATATATAATATTGTTGGTATACATAAGCTTACGCCGTTCAACTAGTTGTAACTATTTAAAAGTCATTGGGGAGTTTCTAGGAACCGATATAGTGACATATACCCAAAATATTGCCATTTTTTGCCTATTTTTAGATAGGATTTTTAGAAATTAAACCAAAAAAAATTAAATAAATTTTTGTTACAATTTCTCTCAGACCCAAAATATACTCCAGTTATTCCTCTATGAGATGGCTATTTTAAACTTTCTCTACAGTCAGTCCTTTATGACAGAAATGGCAAAATAGAAGTAGTGGTCGAAATAGACATGACTCACTTCTTTGGCTCTCAGTGCAGCCATTTTTAATTTGAAGTCATTGAACACCTGTCCGAAAAATGGTCAATAGTTAGCAATTATTATGACCAATACATTATATGAAAAAATTGTTGCTTCACATTAAAAATATAATTTTAAATTTTCATTACCAAAATATGATTACTTTCCCGAAGGCGTAATATTTCAATAATATTTAAATGTATATTTCAAAAAGCAAATACATGGTATTAATAAGAACATTTTTTAAATGTAAAAATTCACAATATTAAACATTTATTAATTAATTTTACTAAACAACAAAAAGTTGCAAATGTGAACATTTTCATCACTGTGGTCCTGAAAACCACATTTCTTATATATGAATTATAATTAAAAAAATTATATTTAATTGTGAAATATACATGTTAATACAATTATATCTCATAAATGTAAGACATGTTTAATAAAAAATTGACTGACATTAGTTGTATTTTTTAAAAAAATAATGTAACATTGTCAACCAAAAAGTCCAACTAATTTGCGAAATCCATTATATATGGAATATTTGCAACCAAATTGTTTACATACAGATCTTCTGTATTCACATTCAAAATATAATTGTTTTTGGATTCGTGGATAATATAAAAGCCAAGAGCTTTTGCATTTAACTGTACCCCCATTAGGGTGACCACCAAATATCCTCTTTAAAAAGGACGACTGATCAAAAAGTGTCATTAAAAAAAGGACACAAAAGGACGCTAAAAATTATTAACCTTATACATTTTCTAATTAATGATATTCCCTATATTTAAAACATATTAACTTTTTTATATTGAAATTAATAAAATTTAAAAAAGGACAGTCCTTTTTTTCTCTGTTTTGAGAGGTCGAAAAAAGGACAAAACCCATAAAAAAAGGACGTTCTTGTCACCCTAACCACCATGGATAAATAACTTATTGTGTTCGTACTGTTCAAGAAACTGACCAAGACCATTATATGGCAGATCGGTCCAAAATCCATTAGGTTCGTTATGTATTTCGAGCGTAACGTTATTATAACCTGTAATTAATGAATTGGCTTTAAAACTATCCGGACGTAGCAGTTCATTTCTGGCAAAGTTGATGTTGATCGATATACCAGGTTTCCCTAAAAGCATGATGGTTTCCGGTGGCACGATAGTTATACGTGTGTATCCAATTTCTAAATTGTAAAGTTTTGGAAGTAAATAGAATGCCCTACTGCTAATTGTTTCTATTGATTCGCCATTTAATACAATGGATTCTAGGTGATTTAATTCAGAAAACGCTCGTGATGGTATTGAGGGCAAATTGCAAAATGTCAGCCTAACATCTCTTATCAATGAGAATTCGGCGATTATGTCGTATATCAATCGCCCATCGTGACCATGATTCAATCTGAGGGCGTCCACTATCCAAAACGATTGTACATTTATACCAGCGAACGCATGCCTATCGATGCGAGTTAGCATTGGGGCCGCACGTATCATAAAATCCCTAAAATTTATGCCAGTAAACGTATCTCTGCTAATATCAGTTATATTATAAAAATCATCTATGGCGAGATAATGCAGAGTCCTACTGTCCATGGGCAATTTTTTTATTTTGTTCATTAATGGCATTAGCGATGTAATTGGCAAATTCCAACCTATACAATGCCAATTAATTAAATTCAAATCATTATTCTTTTCACTGCACAAACATGGTTTCATTATCTCTGAATTAATCGGGCAGTCATTATATCTACAAAACACTATATTAATCAATAGTATGAACAATATGATACTTAGATATTTGAACATCATCGTATAAAACTATTTAATAATAACAATTGAAGTTTAATTTATAAATCAATAAATTAGAATGAACTATAAATAAGTTGCAAATTATTTTATATAAAATTTATTTCATTGACTACTTTACATAATAGTGATTGAAATTTTGTTCCCACGGCTCCGGGACCGGTTCAACACCTGTTCTCGTGTAGCGGCACTTCTCTCATAGCATCAGATATTTATGCGGTTTAAACGGCTGTGACACGATTCTGCTAGCTAAAAATTAGTACTTTTCAATTACTAATAATTATGTCATGTAATTAAACATTTTAACGCATGTGTCATAATTATTGTACTGTTTGCTTTTCAAAATAGATATATAAGAATAGCAAGAATAATTACGTATATAATATGTTATTTAAATATTTATTTTAAAAAATAATTGGTTACATTCATAATTAGTAATTACGAATAACATTATTCCCCATAAAGTATAGTTAATTTTTAAAAATAAAACAACCAACAGGAAATAAAATAAATATTAAATAAATGATTAATGTATATTTAAATGATTAATTTATATTTAAATGATTAATTTATATTTAATAAATGTAGAAATTTAATTATAAATAAATTCCATGCCTACATTTTAGAAATATTTAATTAATCATTTCCCGTAACTACATTAATGCATGGTAACAATCAGAATGTAAAATAATCCAAATATTTATAAAGTAAATAAAATTGCAATATTGCAAAATCAAAAAAGTTGCTTATATAAATATTTTTAAAAATTAATTGATATAAAACATTTATAATAATGAAATAATAAATTTTTGTAATGTTTTTAAAAAAGTCGCTAAACTTTAGCCAGCACGAATATGCTTAGACTCAACAATAGCATCAGGCACTTTCTGAAACAATATGATGACCAGTGAATCCATTTTAACAATCAAATAGTGTTTATCGTAACGATTATCGGCGACAGCCCTGGAGAACGTGTGCTGAGCGCCGGCCACACACTCGGCCCACCATAACTGGCCCGGAATATCGCCCCCGTGTGTCAACCGCTGACATATAGACCAGTACTTTGTTTGGGTCATAACAGCCCGACGTATATCTTTCATAGCCAGAGCTGTTAAGCTTTGTGGCTGTTTAAAGGCCGGAAAAGGTAGGGATCGACTGTTTAGCCGCCCGTGATTTGCGGGCGCCATGAGGTTTTGGTCCATAATTATTGTTTTATTCAGCTGGATACTCTTACGGGCACTTTTTATTAAATCCCATTCAGTCAGTTCTGATTTCTATTCATTTGCATTAGTTATGAATGAAAAATAGATTATTAGGTAATTAATAAAAATAGTTACATAAACATTGTTTACCTGTACTCTGTGAACATGTTCAACTTTGAATACAACCACACGATGTCTATTGCCATAAATAACATCCAGTAACGAACTGGACATGTAGTCGACGCCTACCACCAGTTGATCGGTAGCCGTATTACTGGTGACAATGCACTGCCACTGGTTGTCAGGCCCGGCATCGGTGCCCGACATACTGTCCGCCCGATTGTGGGCCACGTATTGCTGATTGAGTGCACCGACTGTTTTGTACGTAACGCACGTATAGCTGTTGGCGCACACGTTAAACGCAAAATCTATGGTCCGTACCGTGAATTCCCGTTGAGTGTCGTTCAGTTCGTTGCGAATTATTGCTATCGATGGACTAAAGAAAAAATTCAAAATATATATTTGCATTATTTCCAAAGATAGAATTTTAAAATATTAATAATTAATTATCTATATACAGATAAATAGCATAGATAGTATAAACCATGTATATAAAATAACATACTATTTTTGTATCACAATTTATATATATAATTACAATATTACAGTTGATAAAACAAGTAATAAATATAATAAAAGGCGGTATAATAAATTTTGGATAGTTTGTTTATTTATTAATTAAATCAATACATTTATTATTTCAACTAAATGAAGTACGCGAAAAGCGTTACATGGGTGTAAATGGGGTGAATGTATTTGAAACACATAGAAGAGGTTAGACAACAAAAATAGGAGAGGGGGTTGGTAACTTTGTGAGCAATTTGTGAATGTCAATGTTTATATTGTGAAATAAAACATATAAATTGTTTAATAAACTAATAATATTTTAAACTTTAAATGGCTGAGTACGCTAGTAATTTATTAATTAAAACCCTTACCCTGTATCAAGCATGCGATGCGCGGGTCCCACAGCAACATTATGTCCCACATCGGGGTAATCATCGCCACCGGGGGCTCCATAATAATCGGGGCCGTCGTAATCGGCGCCATAACTGTCGGACACATTAGTGCTAAACAACATTAACTCCAACTCTTGTATCGAAATCAGTATATAAGCGGCGAATGGCTTGAGATACATGTCGTACGAGTTGGCGGCGCCCACAATGGCGTACCACTGCTGGCCGGTAGCCCGGGTCAGGTCGGAGCCCACTTTGGCCGACATTTGGTGGTAATATTCCCGGTCCTGAAGGGCTGACACCGTGTAGACGATCGCCTGTTCGACCACCGGTTCCCTAACGTTACGGCACACTATCAACGATGATATGCGGGTTAATGACCGGTACGACCACACAGTGCTGTCCACGCCTTTACTGTCCGATCGGTGTCTCCCTATTGGATGAAAGCGTATAAATAAAATAATTATTATACAGTATTATTTTACTAATAAATGTACTATTTTAATAATAAGTAATAATAGTAAGACAAATTTAATATCTAAAATTTGTAAGTTTGTAATTAATAAAATCATATTTATTTAATTATGTTACTGTTCTTAATAAATTATTTTCATAAATACTGATCTTATTGTCTTCCAATAGGAGTAGTATAGAAATAAATATGATTAATTATAACTAATGATTTAAAATTATTAAAATAATATGATAAGAAAATTGTCCAATGATAACATATAATTATTTTCTAACTATTTAAATTAAATTATATGAAACTAGAGTTTGCAAAAGTTATATTATTGTTTTAACCAAATAAATTTTAATATAATATTAATATGATTGTATTTACAGACAACTAGTGATTTTAAAAATATTTGTACTAGATTATTATTTACTTTTAACAAATAAATACTTAATTAAAGTATTAGATATTAAAATATCAATTAGTTGATTTACGATTCCATGAAATTTTACAATAATTTTTTGAACAATAATTATTTTCAAAATTGAGTATTAATTACAGCTTACAAAAAAATATTACATCATGCAAGACCTGTAGATAAATAAACTTTATAAACAATAGCAATATCTATTTGCGTATTTAATATGAAGTACATTAATTTAATTAATTACCACTACCATAACAACTAGATCAACTAAACTGTACATACCTTTGCACTTATCGGTTACAGCACCCAAACAGCACAGGCTATTACCGCCGCACATATGCCTCGCAATCACGTACTCGCCATCGCAACAAACGGATGCATTCACACAATCGCCCCATTGATGCTTATGATAGCACCGGCCGTCCGGTACGCCTCTAGCCGTACAACTAGTCTGAAAATACCCTAAATATCCCATCGAGTAATAGACTATGAATACTGCCATTGAGGCTATGATTACTGCCGATATCAGCAATAATGGTCGCCATTTAATATAATGTAACTTTGTTTGTATCGAGGGGTTATTAGCCGCTGTGTAGCGTTGATTAGCACCACCGGTGGGTGCGTTAGGCATATGGGTGTCGATTGCGGTGAGTTTACTGTCAATGATGGCCACAACGGGGTGACTGTCCCCCAGTGGGGGTAGTTTTTGGTCAACTTTTTCCGATGTAAATTTGAATAGCATTTTAGTGAAGTGTTTTTGTTGTAAATGAAATAAATGTTAGACTTATGTAAAGTTATTCATAGAAAAAGTTAATGTATTGTAATGTTTATTTTAATGTGACATAAATATTTTGTTTGAATGTATTTTATTTGAATTGTTTAAACAGTTGTTTTTTATTGAGTGAAATTATTGTGTGAGTTATAATATAATATTTTGTTGAATATTTTATGTATTAATATTTTCTATCATGTTTTTATACACTTTTTATGTGTAAATAAGGATATGTTTTATTTTTAGTCTCTCTCTCTCTCTCTCTCTCTCTCTCTCTCTGCTGAAACATCACTTTATAATTAACACAATTATAATTAAATACACTTTATCTCAATTAATATTGTTATGTAGAACACGTTCAATTATTTGATATAACAATTAAAATACTAGTTATATCAAATGACTTAATTGTATATTAATTAAATTAAACTAAATTAAATAAACATTAATTTACCCAAATGATTGTATTACTTTTATAATCCCAATATATCTTTACATTTTAGCTAAATGTACTTTATAATCCAATATTTTAATTTCTGTATATTTTAATTTTTAATTTGTGTTACAATACTGTTGGAAAATTATTATTATTAACATTTTTTATTATAAAAATGTTTAATCTAGGAAAGTACATGCAATAATGTTTTTTTATTTGGTAAACATAAATATTTAAATAAAGTATTTATGCGCTTATTTATGAATTTAAAAATGTAAAACATTATAATATTTAAACTAAAATGGATAAATAAATTTAATAGGTGTTGTATTTATTAACTGTAATATACGACTATTTTTAATTTAATACTAATTAATGATGATGTTATGTATAAAAATTTGGCGAATAGGCGCATACTTTATAGTAATTTTAATTTAATAGTGGTATTATTTTTCATTTTAATATGGTTTTATTAATTTAATATAGTATTATTTATATGATTAAATAAAATAATGAAAAATTATTTTAATTAAATTTTATTAATGAAAATTTTTTTGGATAATGTGTGCATATTTTGATAGCAAATAAATTGTAGCAAAACAATTAAATTTATTGAATTTGTACTAGATCAATAGTAATAAATGTGTATAAATAATTAATTGCATAATTATCATCATGGAATTTAAATGTTAATTCTAATTACAAATAGTTGCACAATAATTGTCGTATTTTCTATTTAATGAATTTTATATCAAACAACCAGCTAGTTAAATAATAAATACAATTAACATAACTGCATAAATTAACTTTAAATCAGAGGCTAATATCGCATTAGTTAATTAGATTTTACCAAGTCTAAAACATATATCATAACAATATATTGTGTGTAGTTCATAATGAATAACAGAATATTCATAATCCTGTTGGTTATTACTATTATTGTTGCCATGGGTAATTATAAAAAACTATTATAATAAAATATGATTATGTTATATTAAAATTGATTTATTCACAGTGGTTGAGGAGAACCAGGCAGATGAAACTGGAACAGCAAGTCCTCAGGGTACTAAAAATAGAGGTCAACGCCGTAAAAAAGGTAGAGGTGGAAAGGGTCGGGGTAAAGGACGAAAGGGAAAGGGCGATAGCAATGAAAGCCATGTTAGTCCAGCTACCTAATAATATTTGACTTACCAATATGTTTTACAATAGTTACTAATTTGTTTATGCTATATTGTCTAATTTTGAATAATTAAATGCTAAAATTGTAATAAAATTTGTTTTTGCTCATTATTATTGTTTTATGATTATTGCATTCAGCATAATTTTCAAAAGTGCTTGTTGCAATGAAATAATTTTCATTGTATATGGTATATTCTTAGCGTAGGATTTATAATTAATGGTGTAAGACATCAAGTTGTTGCATCAAATTGTAATTATTTATCTAGTTAATTATAATCAGCACAAAAAATAAAATCTAAACTAACTTATTTACCACTGGGTTGATTGTTGGAGCATTCATGTTGGTCATTAAAGAGTCTTTTTCACTACTAATATTAATGCCTGTTATTGAGCACAAGTAGGCGTGAATTTCATTTTCAAATTAAACCTGGTTAAATAATTATTTATACAAAAATTATTATTGTAAATTTTTAGTTCCTATTTTACATTTGTACAACTAAATTTCCCAAGGTTAGTTGTTTGACTTCATAATTTGTTTAAAACAGTTACAATTAACTAATTTAATTATATAACCAGATTGTAAATCTAACCTGATAGATATAAGTGTAACTAATTTTGCAACAGAGTTGGGTAACCGGCTATACCGGCGATGTGGGCACCCAGCGAGTGACCGATCACGTGAACAGCGCTATATTTAACGCCAAACACAATCTGATCCAGGTAATACAATTGTGAAATTGAATGTAAAAAGTATAATTTTAAATTGTATACATACATTTAGGTTCTGGGTGACTATGGCCATAACAATGCGCATCATGTTTGTATTAGCCAAAGCCTATTAAAAACGTGCAAATAATTACATAATTACAATTCAAGTTATTTAAAGCAACAATTACTACAATGTACTGATATAACTTTTACACGGTGTATTTTATTTGTAAAAATAAGCATGATAAAATGATTAATACCTGTTCATATGGACAAACAAAACTGACTCTGGTGATTGATTATCAAAACAATTTAATTATATAAAACATTAAAAACATATGGATTTTTGTTTATTAAAAAATTATTATTATTGTATGTTATAATTAAACCCGTGATATAAAATAATGTAGGTAATAAACAGACATTAATTTATAATTTATATAATATAATTTATCACTAATACTATAATTCATTTTATTTGTGTTACACTTGTTTTAGACTTATTACACAATACAAGTATAATAGTCAATATGGTAAATATTATACCTATTGTAATTTGTCTAATAATTGGCTACACAAGTAGCTATACATTATTCCCCGAGTTCCAACCCAAATGTACATACAATGCACAAATTGAGCCATGCTCATGCTACCTAGAGGAGGATGGTGAACTTGTTTGGAATTGCGAGGGTTCAAACATCACTAGCCTTACATCGGAATTGTTTATCAAGTTTAGCAAAAGTGTACCAGAATGTCAAAAGAACATAGCTGCAATCATAATATCGCAAACAAACATTAAAGAATTACCAGCGTACATGTTTGGCGATTTGAAATTTAGCAATATTTCAATAAAAAAAAATAATCTGCTAAAGAATATTGACAGCCAAGCATTTGACGGTCAAGATTATCGTGAATTTGAATTGAAACACTGCCCAAAATTACAACGTAAATCTGGCAACTCTACCGACGGCACTGATATATTCGCTATAATTAAAGAGTTTAAATCATTAGAAGTGTTGCATTTAAATTATATTAATCTCCCAACTATACCAGCTGACGCGTTTACTGGTCTGGATCATCTAAAAGAAGTTGCATTATCAGGTCGTACTCTTCAAACAATCAGTGCAAGGGCGTTTTATGGGCTAAAGTCGCTAAATAAGCTTGATATATTTGAAACTAACATCGATCGACTCGAAGCAGACGTATTGACATTCTCGCAAAATACATCGGAAATAAAAATAACTGTTTATTTTAACCCTTTTGTATACAACAGAAATTTTTCTAACAACTCCCTTGTTGATACTGGTACAAATATTAGTTTATATATTTTAACCGTGGTTCCAGATAATGGATTATGGCCAATAATTGATGAGGGTGTATTCAAGCCATTTCTCGTTTCACCCGAAAAACACACTTTGTATGTCCAAGGTGATTTTAATTGTAGTGATAGTAGAAATGAATGGCTTAAGTCTGAGCCAACTTTAGTGAGCAAGGTGTATTATTCACAACAAATGCGTGGAAAATTTTACCCAATTAAATGCCCATAAATGTTAATCAATCAAAACAATGTCTTTATTAATAATTTTAATCAATTTAATAATAATCTTATTAATGTTATTTAATAAATAATATTGTATTTTTGCAATTATGCTAACATTTTGATTATTAATAAACACAATTCACGTTTTTATAAGTCTTGGAGTATTACATTAATTACAATAAACTAATTATAATTTAGCTTAAACTTTTTTATAATAATAAAAATAATATTTACCAAAAATATATCTATTAGGTTTTAGAATTTTAAATTTTATATAAAAATATCAATACGTAATTTAAGTAATTACAAAAGTTTTATATTTAAATTTAAAAGTATTTATATTTAAATTTTTAAATAAAAGTAACAATATATTAAATTTCTATTAATTATTTGTTTACTGTAGACATGTGTAGACAAATCTTTTGATATACTGTATATAAATTTCCCCTTAAGTATACATTAATTTGTTTTAAATTTTATAAGCAAAATTATATAATGTACATGTAAAACATTTATTAAATTCCCCGGTTGTTCAAGTTTAAATGTAATTATGCAACGTTTTGTATTAAGTTATTATATAAAATTATTTAGTTTCATGAGCTTATATCTCACAAAATAACATAATATTAGGTAAATTATAAATATTTAATAAAAACTTATCTGAATAATTTATTTTGAATTATACAATGGTTGTGCTAAAATATAATTACGTAACTAACAGATTTAAATTATTATGATGATTTAAAAATTTAAGTTACAATTAATGAACGGCATTTCCCATGTTTAAAAAATATCTTCCAGGAAAATAGTTTTGCGCCGGAAAATTCTTTATATTCCTTATAATTGGGAAATAAAACAAAAATGTGATCAAACAATGACCAATCGGTGAATATAAATACTTTTATTGTATTTATTGCATGTGCCCTAACATGTTTAAACATAGTAGAGAGGAAGATTTGGTAAAATCTATTTAATTAATTTAATTTAAATAAATTTGTAAATTATTTTTAAATCAAAATTTGATAATTGCGCTCAAATGATCACGTAATGCTTTATGAGTGACAATCAATTCTTTGTTATTCATTAAAAACAGTATAAAAGTAATTGACTACTATTTTAAATAAGATTATTTTTATAAATTTTTATACTTTTGAAACCATTTATACACCATTTATAACCATAAAAATACTTAAAATAATCAAAATTATTAAAAATATTTTCCCCTTGATCGGCATTTCCCTGATGCACTTTTTATTTTCCGTAGTTTCCCTCTATTTTCCGTCTCGGCAACATGGGAATCTATGGAATTTTGAAAATCTGCCGTACATAAGTTACAATAAAGCTCTTTTGAAATAGCCAGCCTTATGCAAAATAAATTATCATGTAAATTAAAACATGGGTAAAATTTTTATTATAAAATTTGTCAATGAATTAATATTATTATGTTTATTAATAATTAAAATTAAATTAAAACACTATAACAATATTATTTATTTTAGTATTATTTATTTGATTAAGTAAGGTTGGTACAATATAAAATAAAAATTAGTAATGACAAAACAAGATCAATACATAATTACTGTATTTACTGATGTTTAACCCAAAAAATTTTAAAATAATTACTAAGCTTGTAAACATTTCAATATTTATTTAAAAATACAACACTAAAAGTTATGTAATAAAAATTATTTTGCAAACGTTTAAATTTATATACATTTCTACTCAAATACAATTGCGTAGGTACCGGATTTTCACTAGGGTAATTAATTATAATAATTTTTCAATATACGTTTTGCAACAAAGTTGTGTAAAAAACTATTGTAGATGTAAATTATTCATTAACATTCTGAATATGACAATATGTAAAAATTAATTAATTGTAGTACACACAAAAACTATATGCAGTTTAACATAATACAATCAATTAATGGTTTTTTCTGTAATAGATTTTGTAATTGAAAGCTTGACAGGAATGGATTCATGTTTTATTATATACATTGTATATTATACACTTTGCTTAATCCTAAACAATTAACATTCTTAAACAATTATAATAAAGTAATATTAATTCATTATTCTATTAACAAACAACTTGGTGTAATATTTTATTATTACATTTACCTGTAAATCCTTAATACAATTTATGGTCGTTAGCGTTGAGGTACGTGTATTTGCATATGTTTGGTTAATTAATTAATACATTGTTAAAAATTATTATTTTGCTAAAATAAACTTGCTAATCTATTTTTACATAAATGTTGTGCGTATATTTTATGTGCGTAATATTGTAAGATTAATCATGTAATTAATTATAGTGTGCATGTTAAGAATATCAAGAATTGATTACTAAACTGAAAAACATGCTAATATCTTTAAAACTATTTATTTAATTCGTTTCCCTTAAGTATTACATTAAACAAATGTTGTACATTGCAATCAGTAATGAATCAGTGCACCGATTATCTCACTTTTGGGTCCGGCATGTGTTAGTATAGTAGGAGTGCCACCGGTTTTAACTACGCGTTTATCGGCAAACCCGCTATACTAATCAGTGCTTACATTAAAACTCACCTGGTAATAAATACTATCTGAGTACTGGCATTAACTATCTGTATTCTAATATTAATTAGGGTTTTATTATTAATTTGTGCAAAAATACTGTTGTTCAAATTATTATTTTTGAAATTTTATAATTTTGAAAATGTTTAATATAGGAAAGTACGTGCGATAATGTTTTTTTATTTAATAAATATAATTATCTAAATAACGTATTTAAACACCTATTTATACATTAAAAAGTGTAAAACATAATAATATTTAAACATAAATGGATAAAAATAATTTTCAATAGATTGTAGGTGGTATAAATGGTGTATTTATAAACTGTAATACATGAAAATTTTAAATTTACACTAATTAATCAAAATTATGTACAAAATATTAAATAATTTTAAATATGCGGTTCAAGCAAAGCGGTTGTGACGAAAATGTAAGTTTAATGTACGTGTAATAACCACTTGAACTATGTCACATAATAATTTCGGAATAATAAAAATCTTTTTACCCAAAAAAATATATTCAACCTGCCAGGCATGTGTCAAATATTAATTGTATGTAAAATATATTTCTATTAATTATGATAACTATTATGCCCAAAAATTTAATGTGTTTTGGATGCGATTCACCTAGCACATTTTGTTATTGGTTAAATATATGTCATTAATCAAATATAAAATTATTACTTATTTTGTTATTTTTTAAAACTATTTTTTGGATTTTAAAAATGTATGTATTATGTTTAAGGTAATTATATTAGCATTTTAAAATGTTACACACTTTAACCAACAATGCATATGTTATAATAAATGTAATTAATAAATGTCTAACCTAACGCGGATGTGCTATTTTAAAATCAATCATTATGTTGGAATTATCGTTTTTAATGACATAATCTTGCTAAGAAAACATATAAATACAGCAAATTATAAAACAATCCAGCACAATATAAACCATAATAAGTTTGATTTAAAAGTTAACATAATGTTTCAAGTAACTGTTATAGTATTTATTGTACTAGGTACTGTGGCCACCGAATCGCAACAAACAGATAATTTTATAGATATTATTACCAAGTTCAAATCGTTAATTATACCGGACGAGGTGGCCAATGTGGAGCCCGAAAAATTTACTGTTAAATTTCTATTATATACTCCTCAAAATAAAAAGTCCCCCGATAATATTTTTATAAAACCACCTAACGCTGCTATTTCACCTGATATTCGCAATTCGAAATTCAATGATTCAGTGTGCACCAAGATCATTATACATGGCTATAAGAGCTACTACGCTACTGAAAAGTGGTTAATAAAAATGCTTGATCAATTCTTGGAATTCACTAAATGTAATGTAATAGTTGTCGATTGGAGCAAAGGAAGTAATGGCACATATGCACGAGTATGTTAGGTGCTATTATTATTTAATTAATGTAACAAAGTTTTAGTAATATACTTACATATTATTTGATATTATTGATAGATATTTATAAATATCAATATTTTTATTAGGCATATGCAAATACACGTACCGCTGCAAAAGCAACCGCAGACTTTATTGAATATTTGAAGGTATACCTAATAATAAATTACTTAATCAATTAACATTACTGTATTTTAATTTATTTTATAAAAGCAAATTTACTGGTAAAAAATAATGTTATATAATTATACTAACATGGGTAAAAATATTTTATATTTTATCATGACTAGACATCACTAGACAACGTGCATATATTAGGATGCTCATTAGGGGCGCATACAGCTGGGTTTGTCGGCCATGCGCTTGGAGGCAAAATAGGCCGCATTACCGGGCTTGATCCAGCTCGTATGTCATAAAAATTATCATAATTGATTCGTATTTGTTTTTGCAAAGAAAATGTAACAACAAACAAAATAATAATTATAATTAAATTACTTTTCTTATTAGGCCCTGGGTTTACCGACCCTAAGGTGGACAGACTTAACAGTACAAACGTGAGTAACATTTAATGTGAACTATAACAATAATTATAATCATTGTTGAATATAACTAGGCTGCATTTGTCGACGTTATACACTCGGATGTGCCTACAGAGGGTAAAGGTTTACAAGCAGGCTTTGGCATCAATCTAAATGTTGGACACATAGACTTTTGGCCAAACGATGGCGTTGGCGCTCCTGATTGTATAGTAGAATGCATGAAAACGGAGTTTGCTATGCAGCTTAATAATTCTTATACTAATACTGATAAAGGTACGTTTATAGTAGGAAATTCCTACAATGCAATATAAATTGCCTATCTTAAGTTAAGTTAATTATTTCAACAGAGAAAAATCTATTAGCTTGCATGTCATGCAGTCACGGGATGGCCGCTAATTATTACGTGGACAGTATTAATCCCGACAATCCTAAGGGTAGGGCCCATCAAAACGGGACAAGTATTGTTGGACCCATGTATGCTATTATCGGCAAAAAGGCCATAGATTCCAAATCGGATAAAGACTTGACAAAAGGCAAATCCTATTACCTGACCACTAAAGCCAACTCTCCGTATTTTTATACTGAAAATTAACTAACATTTTAAGAATGATTATTATTAAACGCATTCTCATTTAAAAATTTTATTTTTAATAATAAAAATTATTTTCGAATATATTTTTTCCCCCAATAAAATTATTATTTAATAAATAATTAATAATTTATATAAAGTATTTTAGCTTAGTACTTAGTTTATATGTTATTGTTTTTTATATAATAGTTTACAATAGATTAGATTATTTAATTATAAAACTAAATTTTTAATAGTTTATTAGTTTATTAACTTGTTGTTAAGTTAACTAAATTCAAATAAAAAATATATTTATAATAAGGGAATAAATTGTTCACGTGAACACGACGAAATGTATAAATATAATTTATTTAAACAAGATTCATTGTATAAAAGTGCCCTATTACAATAGTTTACAATGTACAAATATTTTATGCAGTACACGGATCTACACAATTATATTACAAAATAATACCATAATAATTGTGTATGAATTGTGATTTATATTAACTGATTTGATATATATTGTAAAAATATAATAGTTTAATTATTTATGGCCTTGATAGTTTATTATATATTTTAAAATAACTATATACAATAAGTAATTCTATAATTAACCACATTGATATTATGTTTATTCAATAGGAAAATTCACGGTAAATATTATTCACTATATTTTTATATTTGTTTAATATTTTTTAAAAAGCAAACAATTTTTTATTCGATGGAAATTCATGTCAATAAAACCATCAATCATAACACATTATAATTATCAGGGCACTTTAATAAATTTCACAAGCTATAACATATAATTAGTTGCGAAAACTTAAATATATAAAACAGACAATAAATATCATAAAATATAGTTAGTATTAAATAAACTGCAAAAATCACTTGGTTAATTATTACTTTACTTGACCATGATCTTGCAACATGATTATTTTAAATAGACTTTACTGTAGCAACAAAACTACATCTCTCTAAAACTCTATTGATACTAATATCCAGATGTTTATTACAATACATAATTGTAATGCAAATAAAAAGCACAAACTCAATAAAAATACAATACAATTTGCATATTGGTGTCAATCGTGTGGTAAACAGTTGAATGATGTTAATAAAAAAATTTAATCAAATTT